ATAATGATTCGCAAAATCGATTATGCTTTTTGAAAAATTTGTAAAAATTATTTAGATGTATATAGGTACATTATTATATATATCGAATAATTTCTTTGACGAAAATTTAACGAACGTATCGGAAAATTTTTGGAATTCTGTCTTCTAAAACAATAATAAGTTTCTTTAAAATGGAAAACCGAGAAATATGAGATATCATAGAGTTATAACATAATTTTTGTATATTTTAAAGATTGATATTATATTAATGATATTGACGCAGAATATAGAGGATATTATGTGTGTATGTGTGATGAGATATAGATTTAAAAATGCGCAAACTTAATTCTCATTGTCAGATTAACTCAGGATTGATTATATTATAATATACTGACATTCGAATAAGTACGAAGAAAAATTTTATTCTCCGTTTTATTATGCTAACGTATTATGAATTATGTATTATGCATGGTTACTTCGATAGTAGTGGCATCATTACTGGAAGGAACGTAGCACCGTAAAATAAGACATTATCGTTTTTCAGACCCTTTAGATGATAAAAATCCACCATCATATAATCTTTTTATAATTTTATCCGGAATTATATAATCGAAATCACTAGAAATAGTACTGCGGTTTTAAACATTGACATAATTTTAAAAATAATACAGTTTTACTTACTGTAGCAAAGTTTTTGATTGATAAAGTTAAGATTTTGCCAGCAGTTATTCTGCACGGTGTTATAGTTCTGCTCATAATTAACAGAAAAAGCTTTCGACATTTCTTCGAAGTGTAGTACCAGTTTCCTCTGTACGCTGTAACGCGCAAAGCAAGATTTGCGTATAATTTTAGTTACAATTACTAGCGCGATAAGATGGGGAAAAATCTGCATTCTTACATTGATTCGCATGGAATAATGCTGTAATCTAACATAAACTGTGCTTGCCAAAATTGTAGAAACATATGAACAATTTGCGCAACATAAATAGCTAAAGGTGCTGCTATATCACTAGCATCATTGCCTAAATTTATTACCACCTGGAACACAAATTTAATTCCTTTGAAGAGACTTTTTAATTATCTCTGATTTTTTTTATTAGTTGCTGTGATCATACCTGATTCCGAAAATTATGCGTTTGTTAGTGAAAGTGCAAGTATTATTCTCGTGAAATATTAATAGTAATTAAATTGTGCGAAATTATTTATTCATTGTAAAATACGGAGTATAGAAATGGATGTATACCTGTATACCGGTACTTCCACCAAGCATATTTAGATAGACGCTAACCAGAAGGACATTTGTATACGTCGACTCGATTAGTTCCGCGAATCTACAAAATCTCGTATCTAAGCATATTTGCAAGCAACATACATAGAAATATCGATACAGCTATTATTATTTCTAATTTATATCTACACATTTTTTTTCGTTGACACGCACTCTATTACTTGTAGGTGTTTACGTAAGCAATCCATTGCCCTCTTGCAATCATTGTCTTCTGTCTTGTTCAGCTTCAGATGAAAATTAACATCATTATTCTTACCAATTTCCTCTAGCACGTGTCTGGAAGCGCACCGAAATGTTGATGCTAGAAATAATACTCTTATCTTAGTTTTTAATTGTTAATTCTGAATTTTGATATTTTTTACCCAATGACGGAGAACATCCCGCAGGCATACTGGATCAATGTAAAATACAAGGATTCGACCGCGATTGTACTAAATATGTGAGCGAATACGGCTAGGTAACAGTGAATCGTTATTGGGTAGAAGTATCGGCCTACGTCCATACTCGACACGAAATGGCAACTTTAATATAGACGACTTCGTAAAATTCGAATTGATATCGGTTTCTATGAATGTCAGGATGATTGGTTTGAGCAAGTAGAAAACTTGTATCATATGCATGAAAACTAGAAAGAAGTTGTACATGTTACAATTAAATTAACAATTTTAATTTTTTATATTGTTATATTCTTTGTTGCCTATTGAAATTCTTGCTCGGTTTAAAAATGTTTTCTATTTCCGAATTAGGAAGAACATATTTTTGATAATAACTATATATATTTTATGCAAATTTTAAGATTTAAAAAGAATAAATGATTGACCAGTTCGAAAAATTATAGGAGACACGATCGTATATAGATTAATGCACACGCACATTTAGAAAGTGACACCTAGACGTTTTCCTGTACCTGCATAAAATGTTAGATATTGTCCGTATTCAGTGTGGTGTTGTAGAATAGATCTTTCTATATCTGAATTTAACGACAGCCAATCTTTCTCTATTATCTTAAGACAAGACTTTATCTATATAAATATATGTTTTTCATCGCATTAATGACTTAGAGAAGACGTAGCTTGATTACGTGACGGAAATATCTGCTAAAATTGTTACTTATATGTTTACTAAACATTATACTTGCTATTCGAAAACTGAAATTTATACTGATCAACGTTGCTGTTGCACTTTCCATCACGTCATCGACGTCCGAGGCGATTAACACATACATTAACTACATTGGGATCAATATTGGGGAGTATATTAATACATCAAAAAGACAACACCGTAACAACTAATTCATTTGCGACGATTACAAATAATTTTATAGTGAATTGTTTTCTCGTAAGCGTTTTATCTGAAGGTTTTATCAGAATACTAGCGCCGAATATTGCGTTTTACCTGAAGTATTAGAATACTAGCGCAGAATACGATGTTTTACCTGAGGTATCAGAATACTAGCGCAAAACGTCGGTATAAAGCGTATGTATCTGTCGCAAAGTCTTTGATACGACCATAAGCCCGATATGGTCATATAAGTTTTAAGGACAAGGATAATATCGACTTTTCCAAATGTCTTTCATGTCGGTCATTTTGCGGGACACTAATATTACAGGCTATCAACAATTCCTTGTAGACGTTTGTCCGTGCGGTGAATTACAGAAGCTTACTTATTGATTCCTTATGACACAGCAAAAATAGCGTAGTAATTTCGCTTCGGAGTAAGTGCGCAATTATTTATGACAGTAAACCCTTTCTCTCTTTCATAAAGTCCTTTTTTTATCATTTCTCTTTGAAGATCGTATTAGTTTTACTTTCCCGTAACAGTATCTGTGTATCTGTGTTCACTAAAACAACTTTTCGAAGATGACATTTGACGAGCGCATCAAACAGTCAACAGTGTTTCTTTGTTTTTAAAAATTATATTTATACTTTTTTTAAACAATCGGGGAGAGAGAAAAGAAATAGAAATAGCGACTGTGAGAGTGACTATTAAAGATATAATTAAGTGAATTGAGTTTAAATGAAGTTAATTCGTGATACGGACAGAAATATGAATTGTGGATTCTAAAATTCGCATAATTATTAAAGGTAAAAAAGGATAATAAAAGAATCTTTATATACAATTGATTAAAATATGTTCTATTATATATGGTGGTGTTATATCATTGTAATCGATGATATTAAGATAATAAAAAAAAAAATTAAAATAAATATGTAAATTCTCTCTGATAAATGCAGGTTGAAGTTATCACAAAAAATAAAATTAAAATTTTTATAAATTAACTAACTTCGAGAGCGCCTTTACGGTTACGACTGGAAGTTAGTTGTGTTATTTATTTAGGCAGTTTTATTAAAAAAATTATTATTTTATAAATCAATTTTTATAAATTAAATTATAATTATAAATTTTTGTTTTTTTTAACAATTTTTGATGTGAAGTGACAACATTAGAAGATATCTGATTTCCTTTATATTTCGAAACTATGTTTAAGACTGAATATTGTTAGGTAAGACAACATGATGGGAGGAGTTGAAAGGATTGAAAGGAGGTTGCGTCACGAATACTCCGAATTACAAGCGCGGCGCGGCGCGGGCGCGGGTGAGATATCAAGTGAGACGTTACACAGATTTAATACATGTGTACATATATATACAATATATATATATATATATATATATATACATATATAACTGAGTCGACAAGGCACAC